CCCTTACTCTGTTGCCCAGGCTGGAGTGCAATGCCATGATAATAGCTCATTGCAGCCTCAAACTCCTGGGCTCAAGCAGTCATCCTGCTTCCGCCTCCCAAGTAGCTGGGACTGCAGGTGCATGCTGCCATGCTTGGCTGACTGTTGTGTTTTTTGTAGCGATGGTGTCTCGCCATGTTGCCTAAAATGGGAAACTTCTCTTTATTCAAGATCAGTGTCCTTAAGGATAGGGAGCCAGAAAAATGCTGGGTTAAAGAGTTATGAACATAAAGACTTGCTATTTATTGCTTGTCAGAAAGGTTGTTAAACTTTATGCTCCTTTCCTTTGGCAATGTAGGAGAATACTTGGTTCATTGCAGCCTTGCCAACATAGAGTCATACCTTTAACAAACTTACTTTTTTTTTTTTTTTTTGAGATGGGGCTCACTCTCTTGCCTAGGCTGCAGTGCAGTGACACAATCATGACTCACTGCAGTCTCAAACTCCTGGGCTTAAGTGATCCTCCAGCCTTAGCCTCCCGAGAAGCTAGAACTACAGGCAGATGCCACTATGCCTGGCTAACTTTTCCATTTTTTATAGAGATGAGTCTTGCTTTGTTGCCCAGGCTGGTCTTGAATTCCTGGCCTCAAGCAGTCCTCCCTCCGCAGCCTCCCAAAGTACTGGGATTGTAGGCATGATCCACTGTGCCCGGCTTAAGTTTATAGGCAAATTTTTTTTTTTTTGAGTTGGAGTCTCACTCTGTTGCCCAGACTGGAGGGCAGTGGCCGCTCCTGGCCACCGCAGCCTTGACCCGGTGGGCTCCTTCCGCCTCAGCCTTCCGAGTATCTGAAATTATAGGCATGCGCTACTACGCCCAGCTGATTTTTTGATTTATTGCAGAGATGAGGTCTTGCCAAGTTGCCCAGGTGCGTCTCGAACCCGCGGGCTCAGGCAGTCCCCTCACCTCAGCCTCCCAAAGCGCGGGATTACAAACTGAGCCACCAAATCCAGCAATAGGCAGATATTGAAAGTCTTATTATTGTAATTCTACCTCTCATTTTGATCTTTTGTTTTCAGCAGGTGTGGGTAGAAATGATTTGTTAAACATTTTCTGTTGGACATGACTTTTCTGGAGTTACTTGCATTTAAGACTCCTTGGTTGATGCAGTTAGCAAGAGAGTTCCAGAAACAGGGGCTCAGAAAAACATTCACCTAGGGTCCCATGACCTAGTCCATATTAAGGTTCTTAAAGCTGTATAATCAGATGGGAACTGATTTTTGGCATTACTGAGAGAAGACAAGAAGGTTGTTAAGAAGGCTGAGTCACCTTGAGGACATTATGGCAGGGAGTTGGAGAGGGTAGTATGTTGATGTGGACTGCTTTTCAGAGCCTGATCCTTAGTTTTTCAGTCCAGATATTGGAAAGTGTTTCTCAGAAATGACCAGATTGTGTGGGGTTGAGAGACCAGACTTTGACTTGCCAGGCTTTAAGTCAAGCTGATATATACATACATAATGATTGTTAATTTGTTATGGAATAGAGACGCTTTCAATGGCCAGACTACTCAGGTCAGGCTGGGAACTGTGGCTCACACCTGTAATCATAGCACTTTGGGAAGCCGAGGCAGAAGGATCCCTTGAGGCTAGGAGTTCAAGATCAGCCTGGGCAACATAGCGTCAACATAGCGAGACCCCATTTTTACAAAAAATTAAAAAAAAATTAGCCAGGCTTGGTGGCTCAGCCTGTAATCCCGCGCCTTTAGGAAGCTGAGGTGAGTGGATTGCCTGAGCCCGCGGGTTCGAGACCCGCCTCGGCAACTTGGCGAGATCTCATTTCTACAATAAATCAAAAATTAACCGGGCATGGTAGCGCGCACCTGTAGTTCCAGCTACTTGGAAGGCTGAGGCGGAG